TTCACAGAGAAAATTATTGTATTAATCTGTGTATAATAAAAATATTACTAATGGGATCATTAAAATGATAATTACGAACAAAGAAATCTTTTGTTTTGATATTTTATTTTTTTAGTGTCCAACAAATTTTCTTTGAATATTGTAATATTATTATTAATCGATGTCAGTCGATGGCTATAATCATAAATAATTGTAATGTACCGAATCACAAAATAGCTACATTTTGTCTATAAAAATAAAGGACTATAAAAAAACACTGTTTATTATTGTAACCACTCATGTGCATGACTCAAACCTAGACACACAGGGCACCAAATCGTCTAGCTTTTTATCTACTCTTTAAAAATAAGACGTTTATTCATGACAATTCCAATTGTTGGGGAAAAAAAAAGACTTAGATAAACTCAAAGTAGATCTTATATTCCACTTACTATGTATCCAGTTGAATTATTTTTAATATCATGCATTTTTCATTTACAGGAGGTCTTCTTTTATTTCAGACCCACATTGAAAAATACAACAGTGCTATCATGATAATATCACAGTATAATTTATTTGCTGCAATTTATTTTTATATGATGTAAAAAAAAAACACACATCAGAAATAGAAAGCATGCGTCAACCTGTAATTTTTCGCAAAATATTCAAAAATAATAGTTGCCCTTATGTTCATAGATCCGAGTAATTATAACATATCATTCTTCTTACAAAGTAAAGCTGGTTGTTCATTCACTTCTAATATTTCATAAAAATTGTTATTAACTATTTCTCATCAGCTCCCCTTTCAAGCATGCCAAATCTGGTTTATTGGTACTAAATTGGTAGAGTATATCGTGCATATCTGGGGGCCTTGTATGTAATAGCAATGCAACAATTCATTTGTATATTTACCAGGCAGGTGTATTATGGGTAGGGTTTAACTTCCCGCCAAAATTTCTTGTGCAACATTTTTTCCCCCAGTAATTTTTGGACCAAATAGTAATCATTTCTGATTTTCTACAGATCTTAGGCAACATTCTCAACAAAAGTTGACTTTTTGGTATAATAAACGATTACCTAAAAATAGTTCATTTTTAAAAATGGCTGCCATATTAAATGTTTATTAGAAATATCATTCAGACATGACTTCATTATTAATTGAAAATAATCTACTGGCAAGGTCAAGGTATGAAAGTAAGATCTCATAGGACTGAATATTATAATATGTTAAGCTATTCAGGGAAAATGAAAAAAAAAAAGTGACAATATCATCCATGCTTTTCATGCCTGCAGTTAGCAAATGCTTTTGTTGTTCTAAAGCAACTATCAATTTTTAATTGCGGGTTTTCGAGAAAAATCCTATTTATACAAATTTTTTAAGACTGGTATCTGCTTCCTAAGTTATTTTAAATTTATAGAAATTTAGTTGCCACATAATTTACTCCTTGTAAATATCCGTATTGTCGATGGTTATTACGAGTCTGACAATTTCTTTGTCCGTTCTTTGCATTTTTTTTTTACTGAAATACTTAAAAGGATTGAATTCTCATGAACAATTATTGTTATTTGATATGGTATTAATAAAAAGTTAATTATAACACAAATTCATATACAAATGATGTATTTTACAAGCATGGTACGCAGGTAGTGTCCGCTGTAATGGCAGTGAAAGTAAAATACAGTACTTTTACAAAATTTATTGTTAGAAATTTAGTAAACATTAAAGTTCAATTTTAAAAATATAAATAAATACAATGTGTTATTGAAATTGACAAAAACTTGTCGGAGCATTATTTGGTTTTACAGAATTTTTATTAACCTGTCAAACTATGAGCTATTTATTTTTTGGCAAATTTTGTGTAAAATCCTCACAAAAAATCTGCGAGAAATAAATTTGTCGCTTTACAAAACACCGATCGAGCGAGTTGAATTAACTTTCAATCATAATGGTCTTGTATGTTGTACCACTCTTCAGCCTGCCTCTATGAAATATGATAGCGTTAAATCTTTAATGTTAATGTCTGACCTTTGACATTTCACCCTAGGAGTGTTGTACATTACAAGTAATTTATCATTTTACTGTACAGACAATAACCATTATTGAAGTAATCTGCAATCCAAGTCATCTGTCAAGGCTACTCGCATCTATATTATAAATTTGAAACAAAATGACTTCAAGTCATGGAATATATTTCTGATTTTTTGTTGTTAAACTTTATCTTTCTTATTTTCAATAATTTAAATATTTAATATGGTATTTCTGCTGCCATGAGGATAGAATGCGATGAATGATAGTGAATCGGTATTATATATACATATTATATATTAAATATTATTTTAATCCAAATAGGCTTATCTCCACCTGTACTATGTTTCATTATTTATCCTTCTACTAGTACAGCTCAAGGTTATCTTGATTCCATGTTCAGACCAACAGGATATCTCTTCGCAAAGACACTTTTTTTTTTGACAATTCCTGTTTTTCATTTAAAAAAAAAAAAAATCTTTTTCAGAGTTGTGTTAAATTAAATAAACAAGATAAGAGCAATATGTTGGCTGTTGTCAGTAGATTGTCTAGTGCTAATATTTGCAATAGAGTGTCACTTCCTCCTGTAAAATAAGATCAAGTGTGATGAATATATATATATACATATACTGTGGAATACTTTATTTTCGCTGAAAAGGCTTTTTGTGTGAAATTTATTTTCACTGATTTTGATAAGTTTAATGTGAAATATAAGAAAAAAAGTATATTCGCTGGATATTATTTTTTATGGAATCATCCCTTCAGCGAAAATAGCGAAAATAAATTCCAAGCGAAAATAAAGCATTCTACAGTATATTGGGGGGGGGGGGTCTAAACAGGAATAATGGCTATCATTGATAACTGGGTACATGTCTTTGTCTGTGAGATTAACATTAAATTGCCACCAGGACCCTAGAGAACAGGGTGAGCTTTTGTCATTTGCCGACTATTAATCTCTATGTCCTTGATCCCACACCTGTTAAAGAGTTACATTTTTTTTTTTTTACCTGACTCTATTTATTTATCACTTCTGTATCTCGGATTTTTATGTTACCATAGCGAGGTTACTAAGCAGTTAACAGCCAGAGAGTAGTTCATGTTTAATGCCAACCATGTGTGTAGGGTTACAAATATTAGCTTCTAAACATGTCAGTTTGTTGTTTGTTTCTTAACCTGGCATGTCGCAGCGTGACTCATTCATGTCCAATCTCAGTTCCTGAACCTTGCTATCGCAAACGAGACATGTCATCTTGGATTGGTGTCGGCGTCGGCGTTGGTAGCCTAAGCGATGGCAAATTTGTACATGTATACTGAAAATAACTACTCTTTTGTTATTTTTTTTGTTTGTACATTGAATAGGTGGGCCCCTGCTGTTGAAATGGGGTTAGTACCATGTGTCAATGCCATGTGATTTACCATAGTAAGCTCACATATTTTAAGTTGGGGAGAAAATAAATTTTTACAGGAGTTCCACTCATTACATTGACCATAAGCTCGGCTTGGTTTAGTATGAATATCATTATTCTCATTGTCCCTGTCTGACCCAGTCTGGTTAATATGGTTAATGATTTATTATCTGCTTTTAAAATGTTAATTAATCATTATTAATAAATTTTGGACTGTTTGGATATGGTGAATAAAATTCTGACAATTATTCTTGCATGTAAATTAATACATTTTTAGAAATAGAATTATTGAAAATTAATATCTAATTGAATAAAACCGAACCTTATGCGTTTTATAAACGCAGTGATGGTTAAAATATCAATGTTGTATTGGAGAACTAATTCCGAAGTTGTTAACTTCACTTCTGAAGTTGTGGGCATTTTAGTCTGTGGTTAATATTCTGTGTGCAAATTTCAGTCGTTTTTAATTGCACAGTGTCTGGCCTAGCAGATGTGCTGTAAAGCGTGTCTGATCTAACCAAATGTTTCAAGGCTGACTTGGCAATTTTGTTGACAGTCAGAAATAAGTTGAAGTAAACCTTTCTTTCTCTCGGGAGTTGTAGAGGTGAATTGTGGGTAAACACACTGGTCTAGTCGATGACACTAAGCGAGAGATGTTATATGCGAGCCCCAACTTCACCTGAGGTTGTTTATTAGTTTTCTGGCTTCCTTCAACATGTAATCTGAGCTTCCTGACACAATTTAAAACTCAATGAATTCAATTTTATGGTTGGTTTTCTATTTAAGAGCTTGCCGATGAATTATAGGGATTGTAATTGTACTGTATTTTGTTAGAAAAAAAACAAAAAACAATCAGACAACAGTACAATGAGTAGAATGAGTAAGGGGTGGGACTTTTGAATGGAATTTGTTTGCTTTTTTGTATTTTAAGTGATATTATTTAGTTTATGTTCATCCCATCTGTCTTTTGGCCTTGGTGTTGGTTTATGTCTATTTCTGTGAACACATTTATTATTTATTGCGTTTTAATTTCACTATTTTCACTATTAATGAAAGCTGGCTTGATTAAATCCATGAAAGATTAAAATAAACTTTATTGTTTTACAAGAAAATGCACGAGTTTTTTTAACCTAGTGAATTTGATGGAATACCAATATAGTGAAATTAAATACTAGCAAAAATTAAAGCTTGTACTGTATTGAGAGCATTTTTTTTTTCTGTTTTAGTTAATCACATACAATTCCTTGTACCCCTGGGGTCCATGGAGTTGCAAAGATGGTTTTAGGCTTCAGTTCTTTCACCACCCTTTTTAACCTATGTCACCTTTCATGGAGTATAGTTTTGGTCTGTTGTCTGATTGTCTGTGTCCGGTTTCAGTTGACTTTTGATCGAAACCAGTAAGCAATATGGCATCAAAATTAGAGAAAAAGACACCAATGCTTTGACGTAAGAATATACAGTAGGCTCAAGCAGGTGAAGTGGTAACATATTCGCAGCTGTTCTTTCTTGTGGAATCTTTAATGCTGGGTGTGGATTTCTCATCTTCCTTTATTTTATCTGTACTTATCCTTTTTTTTTTCTGTTATCAGGAGAATATAAATTGTTCATTTCCCAAAGTGAGCGGTGTGGGCAACGAGCAGAAGAAGTTGTCTCCCCAGGGAAAGATGGCAACAGTGTTGCAAGTACAGGAGGAAAACTGTGTTCCTTATGATAGCGGCGATGAATGGGAAATTGGACTCGGAGATCTTATAATCGATCTGGACGCTGATCTAGAAAAAGAAAAGCAACATACCATTGTCGACAGGATGGGTACTCCCGAATCCAGTCCTCTCAAAGTTGGGAAAATGAAAATTAAACGTAAAACTAGTAGTGTGAAAAGTGATTCTGTGAAGTATGAAATAACGCAGAAAAAAGAGGAAATAGTGACCCCAGCGCCAGCATTGGAGCAGGATCTACCGCAGGCTCTACCTCAGGCTGGTCACGAACATATCAATGGAGTATCGGCAGATAAAAGTGCAAAGCATGCACCGGAGGATAAAGGTGGCAAATCGGGAAGAAGTGGCGGACACAAAAGAGACAGTAATCGCCATGAAAAAAACAGTGGAAATAGTAGTAACAGGGGTAGTGATAGTGGACAAAGCAGTGGATCCAGCTCTGGAGGTGACAGTCACCATGGCAATGATGGAAGTGGTGGTTCAGGCCGAGATATGAATGATAACAATCGTGATCGTGATAAGGACAATAGAGATCGTGATAACCATGATGACGATGATGACGATAATGAAGAGGATGATGCTAACAAAAACGAGGGAAACAAAAACAGTAAACAGAAGGGGAAAAAATCTAAAACTGAAAAGGTGGGTAAAAACTGTATTTATGTTTTGGGAAACGCTTGAACTAGTTTCTATATAGCTTTTCTAAGTTGTTACCATGGATATAGAGCTAAACAGATAAATGGAGCAGAAATACCTGATAAATCATTCAGATAATATGAAAGTTTTAATTGGAATTAGTTCTTGGTGAAGATAAGCAAAAGTTCAGACTTCTAATCTCTGAGATGTATGTGACGCCACAATTTTTAGTCTCTTGGCTGATTTAACACTATCTCGAAATCTTGAGGAAATGAACCAATAATTGAACAACTCAAAATATAGTGATTATTGCTCCATGAATGTGATGTATATAGATTTAAAAAGAAGATGTAGATGTTTCGTTTTGATACTAATTATTTTCATTTACTTTAAGGATGGTTGGGGCCAATATTTGTCAGAGCAATTAGAGTATTAAGTGGGATAATATCTCAGTAAGGTCTTCACAAAGAACTCCTTCTTTCTCCGAGTTAGGTTTCCTTGTTAAGAGTAGGTAGAGATCATTCAATGAAGGCCACGTCAACATGATATCTTGTTGTATGTATTGTCTGGTCTCATTTACTTCTAGACTACACAACTGTAAACGATTCTCAACTAAATTGTTACGATACTGCTTTTCGTAATTAACCCTTTGAACACATCTATTTTCTCTATTTTTTTTTGCTCATTTGTAATTATTTTTCCATGTTAATTTCAGACCAAATAGACATTTCCTATTGGTCTTGATAAACAAATTTTTGAAAACAAATTTTGCAAATAATTTTCTCTAAATGGTGTTGTTGGCATTCAGTATGGGTTGTTGTTTGCCGTGGCAACTACACCAGTCCTGATCGTAGAAGGATATTGTTGTCACTACACCGACTGTAATTTTTAAATAAAAGAAAGAATCAGTTGGGTGTTATCAGTTATCTAGAGTGCAGCAATATAAAGTAAATTTAAAAATTCATATAAAAAAACAAAAAATTACCTTAAACAAAGAAAATCAGAAAATTGCACACTCACACTTTCTACTCAGTAGTATCTGTTTTGCAAAGTGAAGGAGGGAGTGAATTGGGTGATTGTAATAGCATCGATGCATACATGTACATTTAAGGGTAGGGAGTGGGTTGAGTGTTTGTAAAAGCCTTGGTAGCATTAATAGTCCTATCAAAACAGATCATGTTTTCAAATAAATTCTGTTCATATACTATAGGTTTTGCTGTTAATTTACCCTATGGATAGTAATTTGGACGCATAAATTACAACCTCCCAGAACTCTCTCTTTGCAACCATGAATTTCGTACAAACATTTTTCAAATGATTCATTCTTTCTAATGACTGGCGATAACAGTCTGCATGGGGGATTGATTTATGTATTGGATTTCACTCTGTAGAAGCAGTGTGTGCCTTGCCTCTCTTCTGCATACATGCTTTCAATGTAATAACATGTATTGGGTTATTTCTGCTTGTTATTAACACCATATCATTGACTGACGGCTAATTAATGTGGTATCTGCTGAAAGTGCAAAGGTCACCAAGCCTGTTGTTTTTAATCTCATTATGCCAATGCATGGTGATATACACAAAAATAAGCTTTTTTACAAAGTGAGCGAAAATGTTGTATCATTCACGTCAACTCGCTTTAAAATCATAGGAAAATGCCATTGTAGTGGAATGAAGTGGAAAGTTGCAGTCTGTAGCATTTTAATTCTTCGAAAAATCTTTACAATCCGGAGAGATGTACAGGGTCGCATCAGATTTGGATTTGGATTAGATGATGTGATTAGAGCACTGAAAGTTCATGCAATACTTTCTAAGCGTGCATAGAAGAATAAAATACATCGACGTTGTAATGGGTGAAAGTAAAAAAAAATCTTCTTCATAATTAATAGAAAGAGTTTAAGTAGAAATGCCAGACATTTTGGAAATTTTCTCTTTTCTTATTCAGGAAAAAAAATTATTTCAGAATTTTTAACAAAATTGTTCTGAAAAATATTTTTCATGAGGACCCGTCATTTCTACTGCATAACTCCTTGATGTATAGTCGCACGTTTCAATTGAATTGAATTAAACGGATGCAAAGATTGAAGGACGGTTTTGAGATGATATATTCAATCATCTGCTTTGATGTACTGATGCAGATATATTAGGTCAATGAATACATACTGAAGGGATAACAAAATTATTATTTTTTTTTTAAAGATATAAAATCATCTGTATCACTTAATGTTCCAATTACATCATCATTATGTCCAATCACCGTGACAGCGCTCTTCGTATTCGCTGTTAGATCACTACATTTCATGTCAATTTCATTTAAATTTTGTCAGTTGGATGGGATTATAAAAGCACTTCAGCGTTTCTTTTGTTAGGCTTTCCTTTTTTTCCCAATGAACCATAGTCCTTGAATCCATCATCGCATTGTGTTATGACTTTAGTAGAAATATTGACTATGGCATGTACAATTTTTGCACTCAATTCTGTGCAGAATTATTAATTTCAAGTCTTCCTCGGCTAGGAGGAAATGTCTTCAATTCACAGGAATCAAGTCTGTTTCCATAGACTTTAAGTAATTCAACAAAGCTACAATTCTTCACTGCACTCATAAATAAAACAGCCACTCAATCCATTTTGCCAGAACTGACTTTGATTAATGGCATTCTGAAGCATAGTATGCTGTTTAGCAGTCAGTGTAGACACGCCAGCAAGCCCCTGTGATAAACTAACTACTGTTTCAATGTGTTTGTCTAGCAATTGTGGCAACTCAATTTTATTTTTTATTACCTTGTTTTTATGCTTCATCGACACCAACGCTTGACTCAACTGAATAAAGTGATTGTTTTAAAACATTTTTGATAATTTTCCTGACATGCGAATGTCAAAAACGACCTAATTTGCATATAATTAGCATATTGTTTTTGTTAATAAATAAACTCAAGAAGTTAAATAATAAAAAATAAAAATATTTGAAAAATTATTTGTCTTAGAAAATAAATGGATCATTATCATCATGCAATCTGTTTGAGAGAAACTATGAAAATTGACTTTACTTTTCTTTTTTATTTTCTATGAAAAAAATTTGCCACAGGGCACAGACAAAAACAACTCTTTCTCCTGAGCAAGATGATTTTGTCTCACAGCTCTGTCCAATCTCTGACATCTAGTACAGAATAAAGTAGATGTCTGGGTTTTACTTCACTTTAAAATGCCATCGCTAAGATGCATCTTTCTATACACCTGACCTATCCCCGTTGAACAGTCTGACCTTTTAGACCTTCTCTTCAAACAGGTCATATCAAGAATCAATAAAACACATTAAAAAAAGTCCCTCTTGGTTTACAGACACACCACTCTATGACTGTAGACTGAGGAGGCAGAGAGCACTGAATACACAATGTCTACATAGTATAGTAGAGTATATGACCAGTGTGTCCTCTGAGCAGAAACAAATACTCATAGAATGTTGCCAGTACCGCTCATGCCAAATGTGGCCCCATATTATTCTAACCTGCACACCCTTGATAATTATGTGGTATGTTCCATCCTGATAACATAGTTGAATGTCCCAAATTCAATAATTTGGATAATAGGATTTAAATTGCAGGGAGGTGACAAAGTGATTTATGATGATCAGTTTGATTGGCAATGTGCTTACCATGGTCATCCTGCTAGTGTGCCATTGCTCCAGGTTATAAGCCTAGTCATTGCTTTGCACTGCAGTGTTCCTTTTTACTTCTTTCCTTTAACCCCTCCCGAATATTCTAACTGTAAGTTTATTCTAGCTGGGAGAGCAGAACCATTCATGGCATGATTTACCTCCCTATACCGAGTATACAAGAGATGCCACCATATTGGATTTTCTCAAATAAAATATAGCGCTATGTTTTATTTAACATGCACATATAGTTTACTGTGTAGTCTAAACAGGTCTCTTCGATGAAAATAAAGACATAAAATACATTCATAGCGTTGTTTATTAAAGACATGACTTGAGCATGCTGACAGCAGGGCTACACTGGAGACAACAAAGGCTTGGTGGCTCAACAAACTGCCATTGTGTATGGCATTAAATGTATTCAATATTTCTTTCATAATTTGAATGTAGGGTGCACCATTATAGCCTTGAACTTGAGTACAGACTTGGATGCAGCTTTTCTTTGACATTAACATACTAAGTAAATGGTTGGAGTTGAGCATTCATTTGAACATAATTACCACAAAGCAATAAAATGATATTACTGTATTGTGTTGGTTTTTTTTTTTTTTTTTTCCTCTTTTTTTTTTTTTTTTTTCTTTTTTTTTTTAAGTGCACTTTGATCCTATGGTGATAAATTTTTTTTAGGAGTGATTATTTTTTTAAAAAAAAAATTAGGTAGGCGAAATTTTCTCTGCTCCAGTGATACTGTTTGATTGTGACCTAATAAGGTCGTTGTTTGGTGTTGGTTAGCTGTAAAAGTGCTGATCTTACAATGCTGTTTTTGTTTTTATCAATCACTTCCACTCTGTGTCAGTGTTGTCTTGTGTTTATTTTTTTGCTAGTCTTTTTTAACAATTTCAAATATTACCAGTACCCTAGAGAGCCGTGTACTATTGTAAAATGCAGGGTGCTATAAAATCATTAACCAATATTTAATTTCTTTGTGTTGATTGTTTGATGCATTAAATGTCTATATAAACTGTATTTTGAAATGGAAAATTGGTTATAATGTGAATTCTTTTTTTTTTTTAATTTCAATAAAAAATATTCATATTATTTTTAATGAAATTAAAACTTTCTATGAAGTGCTTAGCATTAGGCCAAAAAAAAAATTGTTTTGTTGTCCTCAGCGACCGACTGAAAAATATGAAATATCGGGTCGCGTTTTTTTTGTCCCATATACCTTGGCTATTTACGATTCCCTTAGTTTTCACGAGTTTAAAAAAAAAAAAAAAAAAATCCGTCTGACTGACCCAATTTTTCAATTTTCCGACTTACGGACAACATAAGTTGTGTTTTTGGCCTTATTAACCTGTTTTATAACATTTTAAATATATCTTTAAATAAAAGCAAATTAAAAAAATAAAAGTTATCCATTTTATAGTTGACTTTAAAAAATTGTTTCACTTGTATATTTGAATATTTTATCTGGTTCAGATCGCTAAAATATGCTGTAATTTCAATAATGGCGATGTTCAGTCTTGGTTTTCAGCAACGATATACACTGACCGATCTGAGGTAATCTATTGTGAATGTAATGTAATGATACTGTTAGAACATTGATCAGTCTCTCTCTATAGCCATTAACTATGCTAGGATGGCTATCTTTGATTATAAAAAAGCCTTTCTCTGGGGGGGGGGGATTTCAGCGGGAACTTAATGATGCAGGCTATATAGAAAACTTAATTCTCTTTGTGCTAAGAATATCATGGGCTCATTTTATAATATTGCCTTAAGAAAATTGCATTTTTCTAAATAGGCATATCAATAGTTTAATTCTCTGGTGTTACTTTATGTGAGATATAGTCAATTATACTATATTTTAAAATATTTGTTGTTGTTGTATGATTGAGTTGTGCTCCAGCGCCATTTTTTGTATTTTTTTTAACTGAGTTTTTAAGGAAATGATTTTGTCTGTTATTTGTTTTTTTTTCTCGAAAAAATAGCTGATATTATTGAAGCTTCATGTAGTTTTTACATAGTTATTATTTTTTTCTTTATTATAGGATTTATAAAATGATTTATTTATTAAATGAAATAAAAAAAATTTAATGAAAATTGTTCTTCATCTTCAAATGCTAGGTTTTCAATTTTAAGAAATAAACAAACAAACATTGGTTTGTTTTGTTTCAGGTGAATATTGCAGTGGGAACCAGCGACATGGGAACCATCACGGAGCCAGAGTGTCTGGCACCTTGCGAACCGGGTACTAGTGTCAATCTTGAAGGAATTGTTTGGCATGAAACGGAGCGAGGTAAGCGAGGTGATGAGATTTTCAATTTAGTATTATTTGTTTTAAAACTGTTTATGTCTTGTGATTAATATCTTATTTCTCATTTATTGTATTTTTTTTTAAAAATTAATCTCACTAGTCACCCCCTTTTCCATTAGTGTACGCTTTCAGCCTATTGTAAAATACTTTATTTTCGCTATTTTTGCTAAAGGAATGATTAAGTGAAAATAAAATCTAGCGAATATACCTTTTTTCATATTTTTTACATTCAACTCTTCAAAAATCAGTGAAAATAAATTCCATACAAAACACCGAAAAAGTCTTTTCAGCGAAAATTATTTCCAGCTAAAATAAAGTATTTCACAGTATTTGGTGCAGATGTACATCAACTGTCGGTTGTTTGCATGACGAGAGCAGAATCCTTTCGCCAGATCCCACTGAAACCATCTGACAATCGCATGTGTCATAATGCGGTTGTATTTAGTTGATAAATAGATATAGAATTAATAGAACTAAACGGAATGTGCTATAGTGGTAATTGATTGGAATTAAAGCTTTTTTTGTCAGCGAGCTCAACCACCTTAAAAATAGAAAATTGCAAATTCTTGTTCATTTTATAAACCTATACTTTGATATGTGTCTTTGGATGTTAAAATAATATATATTTTTGATTTTAGATCTCTGTAAAGTGAATGAGAAAATCTATTCCTACAAATGGCTTTATTTTGCTCATATTGTGGTGTGTTAAGATATTAAAGTTGATGTTTACAGAAAAAAATAACCTTCAGCCCAAACATAAATCAGTCATAATAGCATAACTAAAATTGCTGTTTATCTGAAAATTTTCCCGCAATAGCTTGCTGACTTTCAACACATCGTTAATTTGCATGAGTTTGTAAATGATGTTTGCAACAGTTTGACGCCACCGTAATGTTGTGTATTTATAGTCTACATTGCTATGTAAATGACCGATTGGCATGGTGTATTTCCTCGCTTGAAGCACTCAATTTTGTCTATAGACACTGACAATAGCGTCACTGCTGTGCCCACAGTAGGTACAATCGCCATATTAGGTTGAAAACAGTTTATAGCTTGGGTTTTTGACAATCGCCATAAGACTGTCAAAATTTAGACGATAGTACCATCATACTAATTTGCCATATGTTGAATTGATTCTAAAAATATATTTTGTGTCATTATCGAGTTGTCCAGGTTTTATTCGGTATTGTGTACATATTACTTTATATATCTTGTATTTATTTCAGTGGGTTGGGCGTGTACGTGTACTAAAGAAGTAATTATCAAACGTTTAATTTCATAAATAAGGAGATATATTAATTGATTTTCAAAAATGTTATAATAAGATAAGATGTTGATGGTTATAAGCGAGATAAGTTTTTTGTTTTTGTTCTTTCACTTCGCCATCGTCCATTTACGGTTTCATCATTGTTGCAGCACACGCTGTGTAGCAGCTGGAACACTTTTATCATATTCTTTGTCGAGCTCTAACAAAGAAAATCAAAGGTCTTTGAGAAAGCGGATATCATGATATTATTAATAACTGTCAGTATTTGCCAAGCTACTTTTATATCGACATTTTTAATTACATGCGGATAATTTATATTTGAACTTGCAGCACGGCAGCCCCCCCCCTCAACTCAATTTAAATTTGCAGCTGCATGGTAATGTACTTTCTGCAGCATTTACTAGTGAAAACAAATATTTTATATGCACTCCCGCACTTTGCTGACTTTATGAGTAGCAATGTTTATATATATTATGTCTGATAACTTCTTTTTTTGGCTCAAATTTTCTCTCGTTAAATTGCTACTAAATTCTCACAATAGGATTGCAAGGATGCGAATTCTTAAATTTGTGAATGCGGGGGGAAATACAAGAAGAGAATGAAAATGAGACAGAACAGCAGTGTAACCAACTCCCCAAGGCAATTTAATATTCTCTAAGCTGGATAAAAATGTACGAATGATTTTTATATTCTAGAAATAATTAGAATATCATAGTGGTTCCAAGCTATAAATTAAATATTAGGATGAGGAATGATAACATAACGTATTGCATTTCTCGGTAGTTGGGTTCTCCTACTCCACAGATTTCTGTTATTATTGTACTACGACTAAGACCACAATGGGAGGTGATTTGAGTGGAAATCCAAACCTTACTGGCTGTTCTTTCGATTTAATTGATGCACTCCATGAATATTTTTATTAAATTCCTAATCCAGATATTTAGAAAATTAATTGTGTTTCCTAATTTTTCTTTAAATAATTATTTTCAACTGTAAATGGTATAAACGTATCATACTATGTCATCCATCAATATCCACTGATAAAATTTAAACAATCCAATCTGCCCTTCCATCGCTTTCACTCCACTCGCCCTATTCCATCCCTCTCTTCTTCCCTCTCCAGGTGCCTTTTCCCCTTCCCCTCCCTCCTGTTCTCTATCCCCGCAAAAAAAAGACTCGAGACATGAACAATGCAGGTGAATCAGAAGATGAATGGATATGAAAGCTTCAATATTTTATATACCTCTTCATCTTATTCACAGCTCCTTTTGTCAGACACACTCATTGATACTTTATGATGAGTAATATTCCTTAGGCCACCTCATAAAATATTATGTTTCTACAGCCACTGATTTACAATTTTTCGATAGCAGTTATTAATCTGCTTTTGTTTGGGGTCTAATTCTTTGTTCTATACAGATATAATTAGCAATGTAATTAATTAGTAAATTACCGGTAGTACACATTAATTTGAAATATTTTTAATAATCATGTGTGTATCTCTCCTCACATTAATGGCTTCCTTATACAGTGACATCCTGGAATACATTCTGCAGTCGTTTTATTTGTCAGTTTTTTTTATTTTGTTTTATGTTTTCATTTTCGGTATTTTTCTTTTTTTCTTTCAATTTATGTTTTAAAACATAAACAAACTTAAAGGTTTTGTTCTATTTTTGATTTGTAGGAGTGCTTGTTGTGAACGTAACATGGCGTAACAAAACCTACGTGGGAACGTTGCTCGATTGCAGTAGACACGACTGGGCACCACCAAGGTAATTATACAACGACCCCCCCAATCTGCAACCCCCGACCCTCTCCACTGGTTGACAAAAACAAAGCTATTTGAAGTCTGAATAATTGAGCTATCAAAACACCTTGTCAAACCAATTTGGTTCATGCAAATATAAACACCCAACTAAATTTTGAATATGTCAACAATTTTTATGTGATTTGCCAGGAATAAAAACAACCCAACACTTAAAATTTTGCTGCAATTTACAACATGTGAATAGCATATATGTATAATAATACACTCTGTTAATGTCACTTTGAAACCACTGTAAGTAAAGCTTTTATGGAACATTCCAGTTCATTAAAGTGCATCCCTTTTACTGAAAATGCCTGCCGAGAAGGCCTAGAGTAAAAAGAACTCGTGCCATGATAGAAACATTTCCATAATTGATCACTAGGGGGCGGTATGATACAAAAAAATGAATTTTACAGTTACAGTTGCTTTTTATTTCATATATTTTTTAGTGTTTATTTATTTATCTTAAATTTAAGTGGCAGAATATTTCAGAGGTAGAATTTTGTCTCATAATGTTATTATACTAATGACATTTTTTGTTATTTTCTACATAGGTTCTGTGATTCTCCCACTAGTGATATAGAAACCAGAACTCCAAAAGGTGGTGGTCGGGGAAAACGAGGACGTTCTTCATCGAATACTCCTGGTACGAGTGATTTAAGCAACTATACTGAGACTCGATCGTCAATACACAGCAAATTACGCAACTCAAATGGAAAGGGGAGAAGAGGGTGTGCCTCTGGTTCTAGAACACCAACAAATGGAATGGAAAGACCAGGAAAACGGAAAAGCAAGCCTTTGGATTTAGATTTGAATTCTAGTTATGATGACATAAGATCTGTTACTAAACGCATGCGATCTAACTCTCGTGGCACGCCCACGACACCTCAAACACCGAGTGAGGCAGTGAATAATGAAATGCCTCCTTCGCCTCAGCTTATCGAGTGCCCAGAACCAAACTGTGGAAAGAAATATAAACATATAAATGGACTTCGTTATCATCAGACTCATGCACATCTTAATTCTGTGACTGTTAAAAGTGAAGTTTGTGGAGATGAACTTGACACTGAGTCAAAATCTTCCTCATCCGAGGAAAGCACTGCCATGGTGTTGGTCAACGTTAAGCATAAAATCACATCACAGAGTGAATACGATTTCTCTGATTCTAATTCAAAAAATACCACAGTTAAGGGACACTCGTCAAAAGGTGCTGAAAATAAACAACAGAATGCTGCAACTGTTGTTATTAAACAAGAGAAAGACAGTGACAAAGAGGACAGTCCTGTCAAATCGACAGAGAAACAAACTGAGAAGGGATCATGTGCAAAAAATCTCAAGTCCAAATTAGATAAAGTTCCTGTGAAATTACATAAGCACAGTGAGAAACTGAAGTCAAAGGAACCATTACTGCAGTTGCAAAGTTCGCACAAAACAAAAATAAAGAAACATGTCAGTACTTCAGGGGAAGACAACACATTGCAATTTCAGGCTATGGTAGAGAATGCACTGTCATCACCGAGTGTTGCAAGCGCAGTTCAGGAATCAAATATTCGGAAAGACGTTGTGACCGTGTCTGGCACTGTCACTCCAGCTGCGGCCGTTCCTACAAGTCATGCTGCCACCATCACTAGTGTCATTCAAACTATAAAGACTGAACCGGGGTTGAAAGATCCTGAGCCTTGTAGCGTACAGCTACCTGCGAATATTGCCGTGGACAAAATGTCTCGTGCTCCTCGGGAGGAGACTAGGATAGGTGAAGTTAGTGAGTCTGAGGGACAGAAGAAAAGAGAAAAAGAAAAACACAAATCGAGTGAAAAAGAAAAACAAAAGAAAAGCAACAAAGTTGAAAAGACTATACCAAAACTGAAAAGTGCTCGGCCGATTGCTCCTGCCCCTCCTGTTCCCCAGCTCATTGCCATCCCAACCGGATTTGCCACGTCAAGTACGACGGGAGGAACTGTTACCATCACACCAGTTACTACAAACCAGCATGCTACCCCTATAAGTCCTCCGTTAATCCCTATCCAACCCAAACCTACTGTCATGGGGGAACCCATGGTCAATCCTTCCATGTCATCATTAAAAGAAAAGAAGCGTAAGAAAAAATCTAAAGACAGGGAAGATAAACTTGACCGTTCTGGCCATTCTAAGGAGAAGGATAAAGAGACTAAGGAAAAACGTTCAAAACAAGAGACCGAAAAAAACAAATCGCAGGTAACTAATATATTGGAACGAGCTTTGACAGAGTCTGGAATCATGAGTCTGGGTCATGATGAGAAAGGTCCATCCCCTGTGCAAACTAGTGAGTCGATACCATCGTCATCATCATACACAGCACATCCGGTTGTTAACGAACCTCCAAAAGCTGTTGTTGCACCAACTAGGCCAGAGATTCCTAAACTCATTCCGAGTGATAGCGTTCCTAAGTCTGCTGCCACCCATGTTATAACTAGCACCCCAAAGTCATTAGAAATTGAGGGAGTACGTAGACATGATCGCTTGGGACCAACATCGCTCAGTGCAAATACAGCTGCTGTAGCGCCTAACTCTCATACTCCAACCGAGCCACTTCACGTCATCACGTCCACTGCCGCTGCTGGAAGCAATCAGGATGCCCAAAGTCCGGCTTATTCTGATATTTCCGATGCGAACGATGACACAACGGTGGAGAACCCAAAACAGTGTGATGATCCGTATCAATTTAATGATGATACACAGCCACCTGCAGTCAAAACGCACCATAGCGTGCATAACGAAATGAGGAAAGAACGAGATGACGTTTCTGTTAATGTGTATGCTCCATACAGTAGCAATTTAACTGCCAAAATGCACTCCCCTGTGTCAGAGAGTAAGAAACGGACTTCAGACGATAGTTTGAAATATCTGCGGAAGGAAAATGAAAAACATCATAGAAAAGATTCAGTTGATGATGCAAATGAAAATAAAAAAGCACGAAAAGATGAAGGACAGTCATCTTCATCAGCTGCTGGCTCGTTTCCAGAGCAACCAACTCATTCTCCAAAAATGATTCCACCTCAGATTTATACTCAGTATCCCTATATGCCCGGTTACATGGGCTATGCTAATAGTATTGACAACAGAACTTATCATATGCATCTTATGGCGACTGATCCTCATTACAGGCAGCAACATGAAAAGTTTTTAGAAGAACAGGGAAGACATAGGATGGAACAAGAGCGTATGGGGGTGGAAAAACGAGAAAAAACACAGGAAAAGACTGTTAAAGTGACAGAGAAAGAGATTAAAATAAAAACAGAACATGTAACAGTGTTAAAAAATGAGGAACGTAAAGCTGGTGAAAGCGAAAACTGGCCATGCGTTGAGGACAGAATGAAGGACAAAATGAAAGAGAAGCAGCGTGAGAATCACCAGATAATGGCTGAAAGTATAGAATTGAAATCACAAGTCACGCAACCAGTGACCCGGGAACAAATATATGACCCAAGGGTGTTGTACGATCAGCGACATCAAGAGGACATCCGACAACAGCAGCAGCATCACTATATGTATCAACAAAAAGTTCTTGCCCATCAGAGATTTGAGGAGGAACAGAGGAGGCATCAAGAAAAGAAGGAAAAAAGAGAGCGAGAGTCAATGGAAATGAAAGAGATTGATAATACAAATGAGGGCCACAAGAGGGAAAGATCTGCGAAGGAGTTGCATGGGAAACCAGAGAAAGAAGCTGGGAATATGACAAAACAAATAGAAGAAAAAAAAGATGAGAGGCCACGTAGTCGTGTTGAAGAAAAAATGCATCCCAGTTTAGATCCAAAAGGTCATCATGAATCTCCTAAGTTTGCTGAAGGCTATCCTCCTTATATGCAGCATCCATATGTACAGTCACCACATTTTGGACCCGTACCATTTGATCCAAATCATCCAGCATATAGGCCGGTGAATCCCATGATGGGAATTTCCCATGCTGGGTTTCATGGTTCACCATATTTGCCACCTGAGTTCAGATATCCGGGACCACCAAACATGGGCAATCCGCAGTGGAAGGTGCACATGCCGGATGAGAAAAATCCGGAGCAAGAAAGAGAAAGAGACTCTGTTGTATCCAAATCACCGCATACGGGGGTATCTCAGCATTCTTCTCCTGAACGACCAACCAAGGCACTGGAGCTGCTGCAGCAACATGCCTCTCAGTACTACAGTTCACACAAAGGGGAACCAAGACAGCCATCAGAGGAACGTAATAAAACAGTCTCTCCAGCAAGACCAACATCACGGTCACCGGCTGGACATAAAACACATGGCGCCGAAAATGCACCGGAGAAAGAAGAGAATGCTGCCAGATTTGAACCTGGAATTCATCATGAATTGTCTGGTCCTATGCTGCGACACCTACATACTCATCATCATACCCATGTTGGTGTTGGATATCCACTAATGGCTCCACCTTATGACCCATATGGTATGTACACAATAGAGTAATAAACTCACATAATATACTAGATATTTATTCAATAATGCTTTTCGAATAAATGCATTAAAGGTTTATTTAGATCAACGTCCTCAGAAACAGAAATTTTTTTTTTTTTATGTGCTGCACTTTACTAGTATGCAAAATTGACAAAAAAATGTGTGAGGCATTGAAACAAAACTCATCATTTTGAAACATACAGTTTCAGATATTGCTTTTAGTTTTTGATAAAAAGTTTGTTAATTTTTATTACCATTTCATGTGGGGAGGAGCAGAATATACATAATCATTTTGTAAATGATGCCAAAAGTTGAAAATGCTGCTAAAAGAGATTTGTATTTGGCTCTCAATTTTGGATCCAATTAAATCTGAAGGCTCCCTTTTATTCTGCATGTTTTTAAGTGTCCTGGCTTTCTCAACTAAAACTAAAAATTGAAAACATATTGTTTTTGTCATCACTGGAATTAAAAAAAAAAAAAAAAGAACATTTTGTTTTGTGTTTGCGTACATTTTATAAAGGCTTGAATTTATTTTATGGACATTCATAGTCAAAGAGGATGTTTCTGTTGTCTCTAGAAGGCATTTGGTAATGCCCATTGCCAACAAGTCCATTTAGAATATCTTCACTCACTGGCCAATTTACAACCATGAATCTTAAAAGCTTACTGATTAGTCTAGTAGCTTGAAAATTATGATTTATAAATGTTTATATTCAACTAATTCTTGCGTTCATGAAATGCATTGTACTTTGGGTGCAGTTTCACTTTTGATAATACAAATCTTTAAAATTATAATCCTGTGATTATTCATATTTACATAATTGTTTTCCCCTGTGACATATAAATATTGGTATTTATCCATCTAGTTTAGTCTTGTATCTGTTTATTAACACAGAATTTCCTTTTTTCATTTAGCTGCTGTTATGGCCAACCAACAAGCTGGAATGCCGCCCTCTATACATTCTGGAGGTGAGTTACAGTAATTTTTGCGATGAGTGTATTATGAATACAGCGATAATCTTCTTTATTTTGTAATTTTTTCAAGCATTGTAATGCCATTGGCTAGAAATGAGTTTGATTGACATGTCTCAGGAATGTGACCTTCATCAGAATTTATCTGTCATAGATCGTAGCTTATTGTATAAATCATTGAATATTTGTTTGTGATAGAAAAGGCGCAAATACACAAATTGTCGAAATTACAAATGAATTGTTATGTAACTATAGCGATATTCATATGACAGCAAATATTTAATCAGTAACAATAAACAAAAATCTCCTATCTAGCCACGAACAGATTTTCAGAATTCTGAAGGAAATATTCATGTATTGAATCCCCTTATTCCACATGCATTTAAAATATAGTTTAGATTATTTTGTGCATTGCAATGTTGCTGTTATTACTCTATTTGAAGCACATCTCCAATAAAGTACGTCAAGCTAACAGCAATGTGTCAGTGTTCCACTGTAGTATTTACAAATCATTTTTCATTGATGATCAGAGAAAAACTGTTCACATTGTTGGATATGTATTTACATTCATGTGACAGACATGATACAAAGAGAAGCCAGTTTATTTGTGCGATTCCTTTCTTTATTCTGCCAATGACATTCATAATGCATTTCCAGCATGAAAATTACGACTAGCTATCTTGAATCGTATTTTGAAAAAGATGTATGTGCAGATGTGTTACAAGATGTACCGGAATGTGTAAAATTTTAACATGATCAGTCTAGCCACGTTGGCGATATGGCTTTGAAAACAGCATTTGTTAAAAACAATAATTACTAAAGTTAAATACCATGAAACTAAAATGTCTGAAATCTTTTTTTTTTTTAATTTCAGAAAATGAACAAAGGTTTAAGCAGTGTAAGGACAATTTTATGTGTCATAGTTAACTTGTGGATCTTTTGCGACTTGCATCACATCATATAACAATTTGGTGCTGGAACTTCTGTCGTCACCCTGGTGATCTATTTTGTGTGGACTTATACATGAGTAATCAGTGCGTGTATCTAATTGACAAGAGGAATATCTGCCATAGCATGTGTGTGCATATCTCCAGGACTATTTACGCTACTGCTAGCCATACAACAAATTGGAATTAAACAGCTGTAGTATGACATGTGTTCATCAAAAAGGAAACTACATTTTGTGAATGTGAATCTTCGTAATAAATATCTTTTCGATTATCATCGCCAGCGTTCTCTGACTCGGATACATTTGCTGTGGATACCACATCAGGAATCACAACCTCTGCATAATTGTATTGAATATTCAAAATGACTTCCTCCAATCCTAAGTACAGATTATAAACTAGGAAGTAGTATTATACAACATCAAGTTTCATCTCCTACCCTTTTCGCATGTGATTGTAAATTGCACGAGTCGATACATTTATCAAATCAACATTGATTGGTACATTTGTTGTCGCATTGTCAAATTCTACATGTTTGTGTGACATTTGTTTTATCGCTACTTGGTGCTAGATCATTACACAACAATGTTTGTTTATTTTGTATAACCATTAGAAGTTAGGTGCGTGTTCGCTAACAAAAATGGATGAAACAACAAACTGCAGCCGACCCTTGCTGGTTGTTTTAGTCTGTTTACAAGTTGTTCATGCAATATTTCTTGACATAAACTTTTGCATGAAACAATTTCACATTGGGTTACTGTCCCCAATTTTCACATAGTGTAGTGGAAAATACAGCACAAATTTCAATGTTCCAGTTTGGATTGGAGAAAAGAGGTACTTTGTATCAATATTTACGATTTGACAAATGTTTAACTGAAATACAAATTTGAAATAAATGTCTTCACTTCAATTGTTGTTAAGCTTTTCTTAGGTTGATTAGCAACGCCTCACTGGTGAAAACACCAAATAAAAGGCCTTTCGTCATTGCCTGATACAGACATTCTGACAGATCAAGTTAAGATAAAGAAATTGTCATTTCTACAATGTATTAGTATTAAAAACTTATTAAAAGTATTATCAATTTTTAGTGGATTACTGCAGTTGGTCATTTTAATTTTGGTATCCAGGATATTGACCTATGATGAATTTTTTACTGATTAAAGCCATGTGATTGGCTGGATTCCAGGAGTGGGTCAAAGTTCATCATGGCGGATTCACCTGGCACGATGACACTAGGATAATTGTCAGTATTCAGTTGGTGTGGATTTGTGTTTAAACATGTTATTTGCTGTCTTAGGGTGCAATCAATGAAATTACAGGACAACAAATTTCATTTTTTAAGACTTGTGCAGCCTTGATTTAAAACTTAAATTTTGGTGCTGTTGTCTTTGTTCACTCCTTTGTTCAGTCCTTTGAATAATAATTTGCCTTAACTAGATGGGAGCTACCATTAATTTCAGGGGTGTAACCACTCATCTATACTTGTGGTTTGTTTGCTTGTTTTTTTGTAAATAGAAAGAGTACTTGTTTCCTCAAGTTAACCTAACTTTTATAGCTGTGCCTTTTTGGATTTAATTGCAAAGTTAGGTAGGATAGTTACAAAGTTAGGCATTTTTATCACCCCCATGTAATTTTAAAATAAGTGTAAAAATGATTGTCCTTTTCAAGTTTCTTGTTACATTTTCCTATCCATGATGTTTTACCAATAAAAAACAGAGTTGAATTTGTTTTATAATGAAAATATCTTTCATGTTGGTATTCTTTTATGTTTCATGGCTCTGTGATTGCACTATGCATTCACTTGTATGGATGTGCGTTCACCACCAAATCTCAGTGAAAAAAAATGTCTGGACATTACTACAGAATTGATTTCTCGTCATGATCCCACTTAGTATTTTGCCTCTTACTTTAAAGTATGCTGTCTTTAATTCCATACTATATATTGCAGCATATGTGGACTACTTGGGATGCTATAGCCTAACTCGTATGTCTAGTCTGGAACAAGACATTATGTGTTAACTCACTTCACAGTAAATTAAAAAAGAAAAGAAATTTTTTTACGATGGTCGTAGGGACATAAGCTTTATTTTTGCCAATTTGTCACACAACTTTTAATCCATGTAAAAATCTACCAAAATTCTATTTATGGTGCCAAATGAACAGGTAAAATTTGCTGCAGTTTAGCTGCTTTTATTGGCCGCTTAGGATATTCTGACATTACGTTGCGGCCATAGAGCTGCAGATTGCTCACCATGTCTACGTACATGTAATTCACCACACAAGTCACTGGCTACGTACATGAACATATTTCATTCAAACTTCATATGTCCATTGAACATAATGGGACCTTGATGCACAACAGTTTTAACTCAAATTTGATTCTAAATGGCTGACTGATGGCCATTTTGTTTTTAACAAATGCTGTTTTCAAAGCCATATCGCCAACGTGGCTAGACTGATCATGTTAAAATTTTACACATTCCGGTACATCTTGTAACACATCTGCACATACATCTTTTTCAAAATACGATTCAAGATAGCTAGTCGTAATTTTCATGCTGGAAATGCATTATGAATGTCATTGGCAGAATAAAGAAAGGAATCGCACAAATAAACTGGCTTCTCTTTGTATCATGTCTGTCACATGAATGTAAATACATGTAATTAGTTGTCACTAATTTTGACAGGGACTTGTTATTGACAATTGTTCATTAATTTGTCCTTTCATCAATTTTTCAGACCTGCTTTTACCAATCACTTTTAAGCTTAACACCATAGACCATATACCGGTATGATGACTTATTTTTCATTACCATTTGATTAAGTATGGCTGACTGGCGGCCATTTAGGTCATCAAAATTACCAATTCTGATTCTTAAACATTCCTGCTCCTCAGAGACGATCAGGGCAAGTTCATTCAAATTTTGTATCATGCATTTTGTGTTACAGGTGCATACAATACTGGCCGAGTGGCAGCCGTGTTTTTATTCTTTACCAGGCAGATTCCTCTCTAATATATTGTCTGATTCAGTTGAAATATTCTTTAGATAATGTATTACCTGATATGACACCATTTTTATCATTCATTTTCAATAGGTGTTCTGTTCACAAATATTTGATAAGAATTGATAAACTTGTATTCTGTTTCGAGATTCGAGATTTGAGATTGTGTAAATGAAATATAAATAACATGCTTATCTACCGGCCCGAGGTGAAACTTTTATGTGTCATGTACGTGATATACAGTGAAAAGTACGATGTGTTGTAGTATGATCACAATTTGATGAAAGTAGAGCCTTCAGTCGCCTTAATTCCTGCGCTTTAATTCATGCCATTGTCTCGCAAGAACAACAACCAATAGTAACTTGTGTTACAAACTTTTTCACAGTAAGGTACAATGCCATTGGTTAACAAATTCAATCAGAAAAACGTATAGGTACAATGTAGTTGTACAAATTTTATTTGTAACCTTGATAGGTGTGTTGACCCATCCACGACTTGTCGAAAGTCTACAAATTGTTACTCCCAATACTATCATACCAATGGACCTAATTAAATCTGAATACAAATATGTAAACCAAGTATCAGTTTATTACTAGTATACGCAACAGAAAGAAAAGGTTTTTAGTACTTTGATTCGATTCCTGTGAACTGAACAAATATTATTGAAGCTGAATTACGATGATTCAGTATTGTCCGAGGAATTGGGGAGAATGGGATTTAATTAGATAATTATTCACTCTGGGATATATAGACACATTTTGTGAATTTAATATAACTAAGCTCAAGGGAGATCCAGGATTTACAGGACCAACTGTCATTAGACTTCTCATGCGTGTCAGTGGAAAACCTTCGCTTCGCAATTTCTTTTTTTTGTTTAGATTTCGTGTAGCATTGAAGTGCGCCACACGTGGTCGAATTAGAAAATGCTTGTTGTGCATACGTCGACTGGTGCAAGTGCACTGTGTGGATACGCGAATATTTCGACCTATTAAAATTCGATTTATTCGACTTATTCAAAAGTGCTACTTAATTATAGATCTGGATGTATGCCATAGACCTCTGAGTGTTTTTTACCCAGTACAAATCATAGTATTAGAGAAAATCGCGTTGGGCATTCTTGGAAAAATTCCAGGGGAATCCATGTAAAGGCATTTATTATATGGAAAATACAGTATTCCCTCAGAATCTCATAATATTTCGTGATACCCAGGCCCGTAGCCAGCACTTTTGAATAGGGGGTTCGAAAACAACAATAAATGATATATTTGATGTGAAACGTGTGAATTTTATAATATTCAAAAAGTGTGTTTGAGCTCTGTTACATACATTTTTAAATTCTCGATTTTAAATTCAATTGGTTTACTTTGTGTTACGTTGGTAAGTTGTTCCACATAACATTTTTGAACTATTTTACCATTTTAGAGAAGGGGTCCTAGGCCATTCCCCACCCACAAACACACACACACCCTTAATTCATTACGGCAAAATGTTGTACACAAAAAAACAAGACTGTACGTATCTTAGCATTATTGTCCGAGCATTTTAAGGTAGATGCTACTCACGAACTTTTTCGCTCTTCACAGATGTTAGCGCACATACAGTGACACAATTTCATGTCGAAATCTGCCTACAATTATTCATTTTAGTATTAGTCAATTATGTAATTTTATTTCTGTACAGGGCCTCACCA